CGCCCCCCCCCCCCCCCAAGGAGCCCCCCCCGGCGTCCCCGTCCCCAGGGCGGGGGTGTGAACGGCGGGGGGGGGGGGCGCCGGGAGCCAGCGGCTCGGGAGGGCCCTTTCCTTCTCCTCCTCCTCTCCCCGGTCGCCTCCCGAGCTTGATGAATAGCGATCAGGTTTCCTCGACTGGCCGCCCCCCTGTTTTCACAACCTCCCACCACTAACCCGAGAGCCTGTTTCCTCGACCCGGGTTAATGCCGCTGATTATTGCAAGATGACGAGGGGAGCGGGAGGCGCGGCGGCCGGGCCCGCTGCTGATTCAGAGCAGTTGCCTTATTACCAGAGACGTCCTCCCGGGCTCAGGCGGCCCTGGCAGGGATCGGCTTACAGCTGCAGGAGGAGAGGTGCGCGCTGAGCGGCAGCGCCTGTCCCTCTTTTCCAGGCCTCGCCTGGGCGCGATCCAGGCCTAACCCGGGAGACAGCCCCTACTGGAATCAGCCCGGGACAGCAAGACTCTTCTTTGGGGGTGGGGGCGGAGGGGAGAAAAAGCACTCAGACGGGAAACCCGGACAACTTCCAGGGTCGTCTGGGTTGCTGGTTGGTTGGGGACAGGGTGGTGGCGGTGGAATTCCATGGCTGAACTCATGCTCAGGACAGGGATTCAGTTTAAATGATGGCTGTTCACCTTTTCCACCAAAGGAGAGCTCACCATCCTTAGGAATAAAACTGGCAAGACTGTAATGCCTTTATGCAAATCTAAAGTACCTTCACATCTGGAATCCTGTGTACAATTCTAGTTGCCACATTGGAAAAAAGGACAGATTAGAACGGGGAAAAGGGCAGAAGAGGGCCACCAAAATGATCAGGAGGCTCAAACAGCTTCTGTATGAGAAAAGGCTAGACAGGTTGGAATTCATTGACTTGAGGAAAAAAAATATTAAGCTGGGACATGGCTGAGGTGCATAAAACTGCATAATATGGAGAAGCTATGCAGGGAGAACTTTTTCTCCCTTTCTCAAAACTCTAGGATCAGGGAAATTTAGAACAGACCAGAGACGGTGCCTCTCTGAATCATGCATAATTAACCTGTAGAATTCATTACCAGAAGACATGGTGACGGCCACCAACTTCGGTGGTTTTAAATGGGCGTTAGATAAATTTATGGAGGACCCATTGATTACTGCGTGGTTTTAGTTCTGAAGATGCAGTCTTACCTCCAAATAGCAGGTGTAAGGAAACAATGCGGGGAGAGGTATGTCTCCACCTCCTGCTTGTATCTGGTTGGCCACTATGAGAAACAAAATGCTGGATCAAAATGAGCTTTGACCTGATCCAGCATGATTAATGTTACACTGTATTATATTCATATATCCTATCTCCATATAGTCATCTTTGTTCAAGGTTAATATGCCCATTTTCCTTAATATCATAAGACTTAATTTAAATTCCCCTGATCATCCTTGTGCCGTTACTGACACTATTATTGTTTCAGTTGTTTTGAATCTACTGTATCTTAAAATGTAGTGCCCGCAATTGGACTTTGAACTCCAAATGGATCTGACCAAAGCAGAATAGAATGAACTATTACTTCCCACGATTTGGAAACTATAGCTCTGTTGATGCAGCCTAAAATTGTATTTGCCTTTTTATCAGTTTCATCACACTTCTGACTTTTCTTCAGCTTTTGATCAACTATAGTTCCAAGTTTCTTTTCACTTATACCAAGTCAGATGGTTTGCCCATTTATTGTATTTGTATTTGTATTGTATTTGTATTGTATGGTATTGTATTATATTTGATTTATTTTGCCTAAATGAAGAATTTTGCACTTGTCTTTATATCAAATTTAATTTTCTTATTTTCAGGCCACTTTTCCAATCTATCTACATAAATTTTAATTTTGTTTCAGTCTTCTAATGTATTAACTATCCCATTTAGTTTTGTATCAGTTGCAGTTTTGATTGGGATCAGTCCCACTCCACTTTAAAGAGGAACTGTTGATGAGCACTATTTTAGTATAGTTTTCAAGCTAGCTTGTGAACAGATATTCCATCCACCCCATACTTATTAGTCTGTTAATTAGAATGTCATTGTCAAATGATTTGCTGAAATCAATATATATGGTGATCTCTGTTTTGTCTTCAAGGTATTTACAGACTAATCTGATCAAAATCTTTCCAGGTATTGATGTTAGACTGACTTGTCTGTGGTCTTCTATGTTCAACCTTTTGTTCCTTGGAAGACAGGGCCAGTGTTTGCTTTCCTTCAGTAATTTGGTACTTTATCCATTCTCTAGGAACTTTCAAAGACAATGAATAGAAATGTATTGAAGCAGGTTTCTTCAACACCATGAGATATAGCCCATCTGACTTTAGAGATATGAATGCATTCAACATCAATAGGTATTTCCTGTTAACGTTTCTGTCAAGCACAAACTAGGTCCTGTTTCCTCTACTTGCTATTCAGAACTGCATGGTTTAATCTACATTTTCTTCTTGTTGTATAATAAATCAGCAGAATATCAAATGTGAGGAAGAGGATCCCTCAAGGCACCTTACTGAAAGTCAATCCCATTCCTCAAACAATCACTATTCCACCTTCCCACACTCCATTCCCAGGAGCTTCTTGTAAGTATTTCCATTGCTCATCATTCCTTCTATCTGACAGTTTAATGGCCCTTGCCAACACTGTGCTCCTTACTTCCTTTCCCTTAGGACCGATGATTTTTCTAGTGGTCAAAGGTAGAGATTCATGAATGAGGTCTCAGTGGATACTTCATTGCTTACATATACAGTATGTCATTTCTTAGATACTTAGAATGATTTTTGTTTTCGTTTAGAGAGTGACATCCAAAGTTATTTTTTAAGATCACCAAAACATCACTATTTTGTAATGGTCAAAATACGTTCCCATATATTGGGTTGGCTCTAGGTTTACTCATGCTTACAGTAGCTGTTCAATAATCATTCAGTAATTTCCAACTCTTCTTAATAAAGCAACACAGTTTCACTGGGATTGTCAGTAATGACTTCTTTGAATTCTTGTAAGCTCATGTTTGTGTCATCAGTGATAGCATTTAAGCAACTTGTCTGTTGGCTTCTTTATCAATTGTCTTTGGTTTTTCCAAACCCAGGGTGTTTTCCAATAACACTTGCCTTTGGACAGAATGTGCCCAAAATACTTAAGCATTTAAGCATATCATTAGCGCTTTGAGTGAACAGCATGGTTTTAGTCCATCTCATGTTGAATTATTTATTCTTCCTAGTCTTTCTCTCAGGTAGTAGACATCTCTTTGTTTCATGGCTATAGTCATCTTCACAGTGGAGCCTAAGAAGATGAAATCTTACAAATTCAACTTCTCCAATGATTTGCATTGGGTTGGTTGACAAAATCTTCAGGATATTTTATAATACTGAGTATCACGCCAGCCTTTGCACTTTCTTCTTTCACTTTCTACAAATAATTCCTTAAGTCTTCCTCACTTTCAGCCATCTAGGTAGCATATCTGCTACTATCATATCTCAGCTTGTTGATGTTTCAAAACTATTAATTCTAATTTCTATTTCTTTGCATGCTATGGTAGGGGACTCATTCAAATCAAATCAATGCAAGTTGGGTAATCTTGTCCAGTTTACCTCACTGATTTATATTTGTTTACTCTAAGCATGATTTCATTAGGATCTGATTATTTAAATAATTTTCACAACAGTTCTATATGGTAGGTAAGAATATGAAATTAGTATACCAGATTGTAAATACAGGTCGTCAGAGACCACTACTAACCCTTTGTAAATTCTTCAGTGAGAACTGAATTAATGTCATTTACACAGTTTAAACCTTTGGCCACTACAACAATTTTTTCACAAGTCTTTTCTCATTAGTAAAATAGATATAAGACACAAATGATAGAAGAATCTGAATACATTTTTGGTGGTGCCTTGAATAAAAATTGTCTTAACTGAAATGAAAGGTGTTCATATGATATCACAACTAAGTTTGCAGACTGACAAGGCCCAAAATATTTGTTATCTCTCTTCCTTCTTGCTCCAACTTAATTTGTGCCACTTGTATTTAGAAGAGGTATTGTAGTAATTCATACATAAGTGTCCAGTTTAAACCACAATGGCAAAGAACTGATGAAATGCACATAGCAATATCACACTGCAAATGCTCTGTTGCACTTGATGCTAGTACATAAGTCATGTGGTATGTATTGCAATGTCATGATGAACATTTAATAATTTGCTTGCCCCCCGATACCTATGAATCCATATGAATATTATTATTTAGAAAAGATGATTGCTTTATTTTTATGTTGGTAGGAAGAGTTGATTTTTTGCTTGTCCTTCAGTTCAAAAGAAAAGAATTGCAATGTAATGTTCATACTCAAGAAATTTCAAATAAGAAAAATGTCCAAGCAGTAAAATAAATCAAATGTGTGGTATCTGAAATTAATAGGTGTCTGGCTATATTTGCTATAATTTAATAGAATATAATTATTAATTTGATTAATTAAAATTTTACACATAGACAAAATGGAATATTGGTGAGATTGCAAAATACAAATACAGCAAGAATTTATATGTGCTCAATTTAATCTATTGTTGCCTTTATCAATTTCATGCATTCCAGATATGCTAGGACTACAATTCCCAGAATTCCTAGCAGCTATGGCTAATGGCTGGAAATTTGGGGAATTGTAATTCTGATGTAATTGGAGGGCATCAAACTTCAGATTGCTGCCGTATGCTGCCTTTGTCTTGATGATGTTTGAATATGAAATTTAAATAGAAATATTAGATCCACTTCTGTAAAACTGCCCATTTTAAAGACCCCTCAATTTCAATGAGAGGGAACTGAAAATGTGCTTAATTTCATTTGGGCTTTAAAAGTTCATAACAATGCTACTGTTGATAAAAATAATCTTTTTTAAGTATAACTGCCACGATAGTATATTAATGTGTATAAACAGATTTATGGAAAAATCTTTAAATGTTAAGAATGTTAACGTAATGTTGAACTATATACCAAAGCTTTGGAACTTGACTGTTTATCAGGAATTTTGCTTGTATCGAGCATGGGGGATGGCTAAAAGAATCATTGAGAAATTGGAAATGTGATCTTATTCCAGATGTCAAGGAATGATTGTTGGAAATGTGTGATCTCTGTGTTTTGGAAAAGGCAATATTTTCTCCTAATCAATGGATGCACCAATATGTGTTACTATGGCAGAGATTTGGTGATATTTTACAATAATATTTTGTACTGATTATATTATGGTAGTGTATTTATTAGTAAACCAGTGACTATTGATAAGTATAAGATAGATTTTTTTCTTGTTCTTTTCTTTCGTAGTTTGTATTTTTAGTTTGTTCAGGGTTGCCTCTTTTCCAATATTTTATTTTATTTTTCCTTTAAATATTGTTCTATTAATTGTGTATGTTAAAAATGTTAAATAAATAAATAAAAACAGGTATAACTGCCCTGATTCCTTAGTGAACAGTGAGACCCTTGCTTCATGCCTCTTTGCTCTCTGTTAATCTCTATCTTCTATGTATGTAACTGACTGTTGGGGAAAATACCTAATTTCAAATTGTCAATAAAAAACATCTCACCCATTTCACATCACTTTTCAGATGGAGCTGAAGAAAAGGAGGTCATCCTTGGTAATCCCTATAAATAGGGTATTTATGTCACACTCAGCCCTCTTAGTCCAGGGTATGTTTAGATGCTAAGAGATCCAGGTCATCTTCTGTTTATGAATTGCAATGGGTAAGAAAAGTACTAAACTGGATACAAACGAAATTTTCATTACGCAATGAAGTTTAGTGTTCCTTAGTTGTGTCACTGACCAGTTTTGGGTTTGTTTTTGTTTTTTTCTTCATGATGCCAGAAGCAGCTCAGGATATTATAGCATCAAGGCAAAGAATCCTGAAGCTATCTTCCAATGATGATGATCAAAATACATAGTAAGAAACTGAATGATAATGGTGTTCCCAGTTCTGATGTCACCTGTTGAGGTAAGTTCCGGAATCTACCATTGTGGGTTGTACCAGTGTGCATAGCTTACAGTGGTCTCATTTCTTCATCCCTTTTGCTTCTACTAAGCTTCCCAGGATTCAGCCACTCTGACAGAATAACAAATTCCTTCAGGCCTAGGCCATGTGGATTTCCCACTTCGTTTATAGACATTGCCCAGTTTACTGGTTCTCTGCTATTGTAGCAAGTTTCATTCTGAACAGTTGAAATATATGTAAATATTCCAATAATGGCATCAGTTCAGGCAGTGGAAAGAACGTGAGGGTTCACAAGTATTAGGAGATAGGCAATAGCTAGGCAAGAGTCAATTTTTAGCTATAGTCTAGGATTCTAACAAGATATTTCAAATGCAGGAGTTACTTCTAGAAATGTTACCACATTTTTAACAATGGTCATATCAAATATACGATTAAGTGCAACATCAGTAAACTACTTTGGCCTTCCATGGGTCTCATTCTGAAGTATGCAACTTCAGAGTTCTGTATTCAGCACTTTGTAGATTCCAACAGAAGAGAAGATATGTAGCTCAGGGTTGAACTGTGGAGTCCTTGGTGCTCTCTGAGCTTTGTTGTTTGCTTGCAGACATTTCATTACCTAACTAGGTAACATTATCAGTGCGAGTGAGTGTGGGGTTTGCTCCCTGTTTATGAAGCTTGCCCTGCCAGTTTGGATGGGGGTGTGATTTTCTCCTTGGTAGTTCCTTGATTAGGGTATTGTTTTCTGCTTGATTGTATGTCTGGTGTTAATCCCTGCTTATCTGGGTGTTGGCTGCTGGAGAGGATGATGTTACCTAGTTGGGTAATGAAACATCTGCAAGCAAGCAGCCAAGCTCAGAGAGCACCAAGGACTCCACTTTGAAGAACGTAACCATGGACACCTTGGGTTTCAAGTTCTTCCTGGCCCCAAATATCAACTGCATAAATCCCCACCTTTGCAAATGTCCTTAAAGATATGCCTGTAGTTTTGTTAACCAAGGAATGTTTAAGTCACCTGAACAACCAGCTGCCCCAGGGCATGGCTGCGAATAATGACAGTCCCTAGAGAGCAGGAGAGGAGTCCAACATACAAGCAGGCAGGCTGAGTGGCAACATCTAACCTTTCTTCCAGCCACATGTAGTCTTAAAAACATCCCATAATATACTGTATAAATGCAGGCTATCTTACTAGAGAAGCTCAAACTAGACTTAATTAGAACATGGGTAACAATTAGAGAGCCAGCTTGGTGTAGGTAAGGCACCAGGCTAGAGACCATGAGTTCTAGTCCTGCCTTAGGCATGAAACCAGCTGGGTGACTTTGGGCCAGTCCCTCTTTCTCCCCTAGGAAGCAGACAAGGGCAAACCACTTCTGCAAGCTTGCCAAGAAAACTGCAGGGACTAGACCAGGCAGTTGCCTCCTTGTGACTTGAAAACAACAGCAGCAACAACAACAAAACCAATTGATTAATTGGCTAAATTTATATCCCTCCACAATCTCACGACTATAGTAGCTAAGGCTCTTTTGAAGATGGAGGAATAGCTATTACATCATTTTGAATCAATGACAGAATTATGCCTGATAATTTCTTTTTATTGGTAGGTATAATAGATTCCTTTGCTCTTTCCTCCAGTAATGAAATTTATATGGTTACAGTTCCACAAAACACTGTAAAGATCTAGTGGCTATATTTTCACAAGATGCTAAGCTTGATTAGGGTTTTTTTGGTGGTGGTGGGGGATAGTAGGGTGTTGTACCAACCCAGCCTGATTAGTTTATGGTTCAGTATACAGTGCAAAACCAGAAAATTGGTTAATCCAGTAATTAGGTTAAGTATATTATGGATGCAGCCTATGAAGACCAATGGCTCTAATGAAGTTGAACCAGACCCCCAGGGAAGCTGGAATTGGCTACAGATGCCAAATCTAAGAAAACAGATATAGGAAGAAACAGGGGAAGAAAACTGCTATGAGAGGTTTGGCATAAAGCCACATGGGTGGGGGAGTGAATTTATGCATGTATAAATGTAAGGTTTAAAATTCTTGGGATAGTGCTTGAGTCAAAACTTCCCTTAAAGCATCTTTCATCTCAGCAGTTGGCACAAGGCATGGCATACAATCTCCGCACAGACACCCATCTTGGCAGAAGTGTAGGACTAATATTTTCACACGGATGAATTGTTCTTGACCAGTTACACAAACAGTTTTGCCCACAGCTCCAGCCAGGGTATTCTCAGCAGGCTAGTTTACATTCTAATTGTTGTGATGGTTTCTAGCTGTCCTCAGGGACAACAACATCATAAATCTCACTTCACAACTAATAACCATCTCCTGAAATGCAGTGTGTTATTATTGTAGCATATGGAAGATAAGACGTAATAGACTTGGTCTATTCCTCTTTTTTTTTCCTGAAGCTGGGCTTGTACATCTAAAACGAATGCAGAACCATGCCAAACCTCAACCCAAACTTCTCCCAGACGGAACAAACTGAAGTCATCTATGGATTAAAAATGATCATTGCAAGCCAACCTGGGAACAGGACAGGGGTGTCCACAGGGTATGATTTAAAAAGTGAATGGCAGCTGCAATATTCAAGGCTCTGCCTGTTTTTTGTGTGTGTTGCGTGTGCATGTTGCACACTGAAATTTAGTCAGTCTCCCTGAGAATCAATTCTGGTCTGGTCTGCATAGTTCGGTCTATTCACCTGTATAGTTTCGATTGGTTTCCACTCTTTGATCATACCACAGTTTTACACCATAGCATGCAAAGAATACTGAAAGAAGATGTTTGTAGTAAGGCTATCAGTATAGGTTTGAAGAAATAAATATGCAAGACGGAAAGCCATTTTTGTTAGATGAGAGAGTCTGTGGCTAGAAAGCATTGCCTTTCAACAATGGCAACTATTCTTTGGAACCACTTCCCTCTTGACATGCCACTGGCCTCCTTTGGCAGTGATCTTCCAGAAATGAACACAGGCTGAACTCCTCTGGAGGATGTTTGGGATATGAACCTTTGCCATCTCTATTGGTTCTTCTCCTTTTTTAAAAATTGTTACCATTATTTCTAGTTTTCGCTTCTTGAGTTGTCCTAGGCTCTTTTGTTATGGGGGATTGTAGAGAACAGTTTTAATTGTTTATTATTTTGATTTCATCCTGGGGGCTTTGTTGTATTTGCTTTTGCTTTGATTTCTGTTTCAGTGGAGGTTTATATTGTGTTTTAACTTGTAACCTGCTGAGATTTGGAATGACTCAGCAGCACACAAATTTAATAAACAAAGAAGTAAACAAATAAATAAAAGCGATAAATCAAATAACATACATTTGATTTCTCACACACACATGAAAAAAAAACGAGACAATTCAGGGAAAATACGAGAAAAAAATAGACCCACGGTCGCTCTCTTATGTTGTGTGATTTCTATATTTTGATATATGGAGATTAAGACTGTTCTTTGCTCAGGCATACAGGAAGTGCCAGGGAAGTGTCAATAACAGAGTGATCATCTTGGGTCAAGTATGCTGAGACAGGCATTTCTCTGCCAAGATTGTATAAATAGATAGTTCCTGTGAAGGGTGTGAAGCTATTGGGAGGGGAAGCGTTCTGGGTTGTTGAAGAGCAGTAGCTGACAGAGCACCAGGAAGCTAGCTTTTGCATTATGGCTAAGTGCTATTCAAGCAAAAAGTATCAGATCAGGTACTTTGCCACTTTAGTTAAACACTCTGCCTTTCTCACTGAAGCATGCCCTTTGACCAGCTAACAATGCAATACTGTGCCTCTCTCCTTAGAATTAAGCTTATTTCTTTCAACCTGGGCAGGCAACAGTTTTCCACCAGGGTGAATTTTCATTTTTTCCCTGTTTCCAACAGCTGCAGGAGATGTGGGTGGCAATCTGCTGCCATTTCTGTTGTCTGCAGAGGTAAACATTTTGGCCCACATATTAAAAAAAACCCTACGTTGTTGGGAAGGTGTATAGAAAATAGCTATGTTAAGCCACCAAGATAAAAAAAATATTGCCCCAAATCACCATTTTGCAATGCAGTTTCTCTCCAGGGAGATGTGGAGAACTTGGTCTGTTTAACTAAGGTGCATATATAAGCAGAAGAGAGATTCAGTAAATATTCCGTTGATTTGCAGAATATTACCAAAAGGTTCTGATTTCTGTTAGTTCAAGGGTAAGTAAACCTTTTCAGCCTAAGGACTGTTCCTTCCAGTAGAGAGGCTACAGAGGGCATGGAATCACAAGAATTGGATTTGTGGTGGTAGGATCGCATCCCTAGATGTCCAAACTATGCAGTCTATTGGGGGAGCTTTTTTTGGGAGAGGGGTGGACTGTTTTGAGATGGGTAAGGAATGTGTTTTGCCTCTGTAGGTTTATCCATATCCAGACATCTCAATGAAGAATCCATTGTTGCTGTATGGCTAATAAATTCAAACAAATACATAAAAATAAATAAAAATACTCCAAAATCATTCTACTGTAGGTTGCTCAAACGGCTGGCTTTGTACTAGTCATTTCTCTAGACTGCCTCAATGTGGGGCTCTTCAGATGTATAAGGAAAGTAGTCATCATGTTGACTGGGAATTCTGGCAGTTTTAGTCTCAAAACATCTGCAGAGTACCACATTAGGGAAACGTGGTACAATTCTTAATTTTTTTTGTTCTTTACTTGTAAAATATGTTTATTAATCAGAGTCCTTTAGCCAAGTGTTCTGAAACACTACTGACCATATTGAAAGTTTGCATAAGTATATATTACTATCCTTGATCGTTCACAACTCTGATGTAGGTTTTGAAATACAATTTATGAAAAATGGGTTGCAATAGATTACTAACTCTACTGTCAACCTTGCAGCAATTTTTCCTTGTCTCTGATTAATGGAACTTGAAGTTTGAGTAGAAAACGTATTAGATTCTATCAGCCTGCTCACTCTTAAATGAATATAATCGCCTTGTAAGATATCATAACTTCTTGCCTATGGACATTTTGCTGTTTTTGTTTAGTCTCAGTAGCGTAACACATTTCTCATTTATATTGAACATCGTTGTTAGATAACGATGCATCACAGAAAATAACAACGTAAAACCAATCAGTCGCAAAATAGGTTCCTCTTCCTGGAGTGTTAAAGTTTGTAAATCAGCTGTTAAAGGAGTCGGGAGAGTTAATTTAGTCTATTTTATTTTTTGCTTTTAATTAGTATCTGTTTTTAAATAAAGAATACTGTCTATTGTTGCCTGAACTTTGGTGAGTAGCTACATTATTGCTCTGATAAGTATACCAACCGAAACTCACCATGTTGTTCAGGCTTCTGTTCTATGTGAATTCCACTTAAACCCTAGGCAACCTGGGGCTCTCAAGGTGTTTTGCACTCTCCTGCCAATGGCAAGGGATCATGGGATTTACAGTTTAAATATATAAAAGTTAGCTGATTGCCTATTCCAGGACTGGAGTGTTAAATTAGCACAAGGAATACTAGGTTCATATCCTTACTTGGCCATGAAATTCATTGGAAAAATACATTACTAGTATAAGTTAGTATACAGGATTGCGTTGAAGAAAAATAAGATACCTCTCCTGAAGCCCTGAAATCTTTGGAGGAGGAACAGGATACAAATGAGATTGACAGCGAAGGAAAGAAAGAGGAACATTAACTACTTTTAATGTTTTAATACTTTAAGCTGCCTAGAGCCTGACAAGTAGATGGTGGCATAATAAACAAACAAACAAATGCATATCGTATTAGCTGTGAAACTCACAAATCTTACTCATATCTTTTCTACATGAGTGGCATCATTTTTAAAGGAAATTTAAATTTATAATGTGACTCCAAACATGTCCTCCACCAAAACCTTGGACCCCCCAGATCATGAGGAAAAAACCTTTAATTCCTGGCCCTGCCCACTTCAAGGATGTCACAGGATTGCTGCTTTGTCCTTCACTCAACAAACGTTTTAAAAATTATAAGAGCTGGCTGTTGAAAGAAAAGCTTTATGGAGTTTGATACTATGGAGGAGGAGGAGGAGGAGAAGGAGGAGGAAGAAAGTACAGCACTAGCAGTGTAAAGTATGGGAGGGGATGTGTCAAGGGTTATGCTTAATTTCCTGCCACCCCACTTTCCATCCTGCTTTTAATCATCTTCTGGAATGTTGGCCCTGTCACATACAGATCTAATTCAGGAATCTCCCTGCTTCTGGCAAACAGACTCATATGCTGGACTAGGCACTAGGTTCATATTACAATTCAGCAAGGCCCACTGCAATTTAAAGTGCTGGTTTTGGCCATTCAGTGCTTGGGCCCTTGAAAAGCCTCTACCTCTTCCCAACTGAAGATGAAGATAAATAGCAAAAAGCTTTCCGTGGTGATTCTGCCTTCAAAGGTGAGAGCGATGGTTACTGGAGAGAATACGCCTTCAGTGGGGGGTACTTTGGGTTTGAAGCTTCTCCCCCAAAAGGTTTAGTTTAACTGATGGTATTTTCACTGTCAACGAATTTTTCTCTTGTGCATTTTAGATGCATTTTTAATCCTATTGACTGTTTTATATCGTTTTTATAATATGGTGACTTTTGGCTTCTTTTTCAAAAAAATACATTTGAATTGTTTTACTTATTTTGAATATTACCCAGGAAGTACACTTGACAGCTGATATAAAGGAAGATAAAATCTCCTGTGAGTTAAGCTCAACTGATGAATTGATGACTTTGTGGACATGCCCAAGTAGTTTTCTTAGCAACAGTATGGAAGTGGTTTGTCATTACCTTCTTCTGAGATAGTTTTTTTTCTTTTTTTAAACTTTTAGAGCCTAGCCTACAATGCTGGCAGCCTTCCATCCAAATACTAAGGAAGTCCAATCCTGCTTAGTTTTTGGAGATCATCCTCTGGAACTGATCTGCAAAGAAATAGGATAAATACTCCATGTGAGTCTCATCGATAGGAGCTCTCATTCCTAGAAACACAGTGTACTAAAAGGATACTGTACTTAAAAAAAAAAAAAGCAAACAATGCAGCAGATTACGTGGCCTGTTCCTGAGAAGTGTGGTGCAATCACTGTATCTACAGTTTTCTCAAGTGATAAATTATCATACTATTTATCAAAAGGCATTTCTGAAAAGAAGCATTAAGTGCACAGAGAAATGGCACTGAAATGCAATGAAGGGAATTCATCCAGGATGGCCTGATCACTTTTGAAATTATCATGCAGTAGGACATGTTAATAAAGCACAGTTCATAACATTCAAGGACCATCTGTAATACTCAGTTTTAGGGCACTTTACCTGCAAAGCGCAGCCACAGAAGCAGTAAAAGACTGCTATGAAGTGAGGTAGAAGGGAGACTTCTTAATACTTAATACTCCTCTATCTCTGCCAGTGCTTTGTTTTTGCTAAATATAATGCCCCCCCCCAATCAAGAGGTGAATGATGTTTACCTGCACATCACTGCTTTCAGTAGGATGTGTGTCAAATACACATCCTCATTTATGGGGAACATGTAAGCTCAACCTCAGACCCATTCAGCTCTGATCTTGATTATGTGCAAATTGCATTTTGTTCAGCTCTTCTTGTCATACTGTATAGTTGTTTCCAACTGATTTGTTTCAAAATCCATCTATTTAAACTCTTCTCATCTGAGTCCTCTGGGCATTCCTATCTGGAAAGAACATTCCCATCATCCTAGTCTCATTTTATCTGGAATAATGTGTAGATAAAAACCAGTAGTCCTGTAAGTTGCAGAACAAATATTTCAGTATGTTAGTCAGTAGACATGCCCCAACTCTTCCCCAGACAAATGATTTTTTTTGGTGGTGGTGGACGTAAACAGTCCATTTGCAAAATTCTCTGGATGGTTTAATGCAATGATAAAACACAACCATTGGCAACACTGTAGTTGTTTTTCTTGAATTAGTGTAAAAAAAAATTAACTTTTAAAAATAAGATTACAACTCTCTAGTTCTGAGGCCATGAATATAGTGGAGTTCTTTCTACACTTTCAGAGAGGAAGATTCCTGGAAGAGAAGAAAGTCTGCCATGCTGGAGAGCTACAGGACTAGGATCAAATGGACCTAGAAGAGATTCCTCCACTCCAGAGGCATTCTTGGATAAGTGTGTCTTTGATAAAACAGAGAATGAAGTTGGTTTTCAGTCTCCCCACTCCCCAGCAACAGACCAAGACTTTTTTAAAAAAATGAGCGAAGATACCTCTCTAAACATAAACGTATTGTTTAGAAGCAGAGCATGAAATCTTAAACTCCAAGTGGATTATGCTCTCTTAATCTTTCACCATCAAAATATAGGGTAGATTTAGCATGCTTTCATTGCAGAGTGCTTGGCAAGCAGCCGTCAGATGAATGAGGCGAGCTGATTTCATTTGTACATGTGCCAGATGTCACTGTTAGATATGGCTGTTCCGTTTCATCAGTGAAACAGGCTTACATGGGGATGTTGATTGGTGGGGAGCTGCCTTTGAAAAATAACATGATGTCAAATTAGCAGGGACAGAAGGGCCCATTATAAGAGATAAATGATACTCTGAAAGAATCATCACTTCTCTTTTGTTTCGTTAAATATTTGGCAATCTCATTTCATTAATTGGGCCTAGCAACATAACAATAACGTGATAAAGCTGGTTGACGAATTGATCGGTTTTTGAATAGGATAACTGCAGCACTGAGGTCTGGAAAAACGCACTGCTGGAATTGTGTTGTGGAATGAAGATATGGAGTTGGAATAGGCACCCAGTAAAAGTTACTAGATGCATTTCCACTGATTTCTGTGTTTCTGGATTGCACCCAGGAATTTTCTATTATAGATATCCCAAACTAGCTAACATTAGCCTTAATCAAGTCTTACTGGAAAAAATAGAGCAAGCAGGCTATGACAGAAATAAGTGCCATAGCTTGCAATGCCTATCCTTAGCTGGATCAGATCCAGCTTTCAAAAATCACTATGGAAGAGCAGTGAGATGGGTTTACTTGCTTCCTAAAAAGGACAGATTTCACTCATCTGATACTGCAGATGAAAATTATGGGGACATTTTCACTCAATGAGTGGGATCCAATCAATGAGTTGTTCAGTTAACATTGACTTAAAACCAATGTATCAAGACAGTTAAATCACATTTACTAACTGAAATGTGGGTTTAAGTTAAACCTTACTTAGGTTTAACTTAACTAAAACACAGTCTGATTCCACTATTTATTCCTATTAATTAGGAAATCAATTATCTAAATTGGAATTCCAGTTGCTATGACTGAATGTGCTGTTCCTCCTCTTCATACACAACATTCACCCATTCCATATTCATGAT